CAAAATAGTGACTATTTTTTAATGACTTTGCAAATACTGACTATTTTTGAATAACCAATCCGAAAACTAGCTAGCCTATGCTATTTTTGTATTAGGCCGTAATTTTTTCAAGATAGAATAGGGACATTTGCATCTATACCCGCTTTTTGTGTTACGTTTTAATTTGTGTTCGCTTTGCAAAAAAAATTGCAAGCGTATCCGTTTTTTCGCATAACTTTAGCATACGGGGCTGAAGTAGCAAAGACAATCATGCAAAACTTCAGCATTCTAGTAGCCGGGCCTGAAGTTTTTGTTTTGTAACTGGCGAACTTTAGCTCTAGAGCTAAAGTTTTTATTTTGTAACTGGCGAACTTCAGCTCTAGAGTTGAAGTTTTTATTTTTGTAACTGGCGAATTTTTTGTTTTGTAACTGGCGTTTTTATTTTTTTAACTGACAAAACTTTTGTTTTATAACTGGGAACTTCAATTTTAGAGTTGAAATTTTTATTGTGCAACTATCGAAACAATCCAGAGTTTAGTCAACATCATATCTGAAAACCGACTGCGACGACACTGTTCTGTTGACCTTTAAGAAGAGAAAGGATGCAATTCATTAAATGAAGTTGCTTTGCTTGAAGCAATATTTGAATATTATTTCAAAGTTGATATTGATCTGGTCATAACAGTAGGAGAATGCTGAAAGTCAGTAAGTCAGTTCTCCATAATTAATTGCATTGTCTAGTGACTCACGTATTATTATCTACTAACTTACGTAATTATTTATAATTTATTTTTAAATAATTTAAGAACTGAAGTTCTATAGTAGCACTAATAGCAGTAGAAGAAAGAAGAAGAAGAAGAAAAAAAAAACGAAGGAGGAGAATGAGGAGGAGAAAGGAGGCTGAAATTATTTAAAAAGTGGGTACAAGTTAATTTTATTTTAAAAATAGGTATATGTTAAATGGGGGCGACCAAATAAAGCACCCCATGCAATTTTTACTATAGAATAGCTCACGGTTCTGATAAACTTGCCCATGACACTTCTCCCAATTGACAATTAGACCTTCAATTTGAGTGGGATATTTAATTGCTTTTCAAGCGTAGACCATCGCCTCTGCTCAACCACGGAGAAATTAAAAAATAGACAGATTTATAGTAGTCATTAAAAAATAGCCATAATTTTAAAAGTAATCAAAATTTAGCCATTTTTCATGTAAAGATAAATTTGAATGAAATACTGTTCAAAATCCGAAAAATATTCCAGCATAATATGCTGAAAGTTCATACACATGTGCACTAATCTCCAGTATATTATGCTGGAACTTTCCGTGTTGCAACAAAATATCAGCTATTTTTCAATGACTTTGCAAACACTAACTATTTTTCAATTATTAGTCCGAAAACTAACTAGCTCGTGCTATTTTTACGATTTATGACATGCAAATAGATAGTACAAGCCTTCCCATAAGAGAAGGCGGATTATCCTAGTTCATTACCAACACCATTACACCAATACATAGACACTTGTTTCCCCTTAAATTTTCATAGAAAAATACAGTACTTTAATGTTTAATTTGGACAATTTCCAGGTACCTCTGTAGACATCTTCTAGTGCAAAAAAAAAGGTGGATAAATTCCTCATTAACACGTCCATATTTTCTCACATACAACCCTTATAATTCGCTTATTTTTTTGTTTTTGTTTTTTGGTTTTTTGTCATGACAATATAGTTTGTTACCATCGTTAAAGACGGAGCTAGGAATTGAAACTTATGGGTTCGAAATTCTAGTTTTTTTAAGTTATTGGGTTATAACTTCACAATTTATTCATATATCATGGATTTCACAAAACAAATTCAGGATTTGAACAAAAGTTACCTGGTCTGGCTGCCAACGGGAGCCCCTGAGTCTTCATGTATATAATGGAAAATAGACAAACGATATACATCAGGTTTCCTTATACAAGAAGATTTAGTAAAAGTATCCTCAGAGCTAGGGGTGTACAAAGGAAACCGATAAACCGTACCAATTCGGTAATCCGAGTCAAATCGAGAAAAAAACCCATCTATGGGTTGGTTTGATTTGGTTTGGTGTTAGAAAAAAAATCCGACCATAATTGATTTGGTTTAGTTTTAACTAAAGAAAATCAAACCGAAACCAAACCAACCCGACATTACATATATAGAAATTTTAGATATATTTAATATATAAATATACTTATTGTGATGTAATTTATAAATATTTCTTAAAAGATTTCATAATTTTATTTTTTGAGGTATTATTTCTAGGTTGGATTTAGAACTTTTGAATGTTCCAAAAAGTTTTATAGTCATTAACATTAGTAAATTAAATAGTGTTAACAAAAGCCCAAACCAAAATCAAATCAATACTAATGCTAACAAAAGAAATTTAATTCAATACTACGAACGGGAATGTATTGAATATCTATTTTTGTTTTGCAATAATTTAGATAAAATACATAACCTATTTTTATTTTTCTGTAACGTTTAGTCATGTATTTAATACTCTCTTATTAGTCTACTTATTTTAGCATGACTTAGTACTTTTAGATTATGTTTATTTTTATTATGGCTTTTTAATTAGTAATATTTATATTACATAATTTTATTGTTGAATATTTTAGGATAATGCCATGACATATCTCATATTTTGTATTATTTTCTTGGAAAATACTTTATATAGTTGTATTCTACTAGGACTAAGGAAATATTTTGAGCATAATTTATATGTTTTGTTCTACGAAGATTTTACCGGAAAAAATCCCGAAAAACCCGAAAACCCGAGAAAAATCGAGAGTGAAAAACCCGAGTTTTATTGGTTTGGTTTGGTCTTTAGATTTAATAATCCGACACAATTGATTTAGTTTGGTAATTATAAAATCCGAACCAACCCGACCTATGTACGCCCCTATTGAGCCACTACTTCGCTTTGTTAGAATTTCTTACAATTTTCCTCACCTTACTTGGTAAACCCTTCAAACTGAAATATTTCAAGAATACATATGCAATTAGGTAGTCAAATTAAAGATAAACATGAAACGTTTTGCTGAGCAAGAAATTTAATTTGAAGAAACATCCAACTTATGACAATCATCTTGTTTTTAGCACTAGATGAAAGACAAGGTATTCCAGCCTTACCCTTTTCCTTCTCTGATATGATCTGATATCAATCAAGATATAAATCTTGGTACACATTAATTTCAATGTCTGAGCAGCAGTCAGGTCACCTGGAAATGGTCTTACAAATTAAGTTGCTCAAGTGATAATCATAACTGGAAATGGACAATGAGTACTACTAAAGCTACAAGTAATTTACTTAATATGGAGACAATGTGATGGTAGCATATCAGGCCCCAGGATGCTTTTTCTTGGTACTTGGATGTATTAAGCTGCACGCGCAACACGCCTACGGGTTTGGCTGAGTGGTTTCCCACACGAAAGACCTATGATTAATTCCTCTTACCAACAGCCTCCTCAGTCAGATTACTCGTCGCACCGAGCTTGCCTAGTGCAGTTTACATCTCTTGTGTAATTTACGAGCTATTGCATAATGAGCAGGTTACCTAGTGTGGAGTGTGCACCGAAAAGGATGATTCCTTATCTTTTGTATGATTCCTTAGTTTTTTAATTCGTGTTATTATTTTGAATAAGTCTCATATTATTTAGGAGCATATCTACTAGTAAAAATGCTCCAAAAAAGTAGTAGACTTATTCAAAATAATAATAATTACTAGAAATGCTCCTAAATTTGATGGATATCACACGATTTAATTACTGGACGAAAGCTCCATTCAGTTCAGTCAATTTTAACGAGACGCAGTTAAAATAATACAAAGAAAGTCAAACTTCGTTTAAGTGGTATGACATTTAATTATCACTTAAATTTACTAGTATAAAAAGCATATAGTAGAAGTTTGATTTTGTTTCAGGAGGTTCCTGTTAGTGTATTACATTACATTACATCAATCCAGGAATAACTTGAAGAGCTCGATCTCCTAATAATATTTGCAATAATTTTTATAGTCTATTGACAAAATGAGGGATAGATGACAAAAACCATCAAATTCTCTTGTAGTCAACGAGATGGCTAATCACTTCAACATTTAAAATGAAAACTCTCTAATCCCTGTACAAAGCAAGGTCCAATATGGTGTCCAGTTCCAATTTGGTACCCATATTTCAATACTAACGATAAAATGTGTATAATCACTTTTACATTTGGATTGACAACTTTAGAATACACTTTATACATCAATATTATTACTATACTATAGTTATATCAATTATGAGAACATGGACAGGCAAATAAATTAATTTTTCTTCTTCTTATGTACTTAATTAATAGGATATTAAAAATGTCTAACTAGACAGTGATGACACAACATTTTTTTTGGAAAGAGACACAATATTACTTAAAACTGAATTTCATAATTTTAGGGGTAGTTCGGTAGGATGTATTAGGAAAAATAATATATGTATTAGTTTTGGTAATATTGATCAATTATTTGTTAGTGTTTTTCAACCAATGTGTAACTAATTCTTGTAATAGTTATACACTATATTCAATTATATATAGCAAAGCATGACATTAGGCCATTAGCAAAATCATAATTTTTTAATACATGAATAAACATGTATAAAAGACATAACTGAGTTAATACATCAAATCAAACAGTCAATAAGAAAGAATCTCAAAATAACTAATCATAGTATTACTAATACACCATATTCGGTAATATTCTTATACACCATGTCAAACGACCCCTTATTTAAAATAGTGATAAATTAATTAGGTATAGCATTGGGGTTGCGGTGGAATTGAGGAAATTCCTGTACTCTTAATTAGAAATCTCGAGTTTAAACCATAAAATTTAAAAAATTCGTTAATTAAAAGAAGTTAGATATAGAAAGAGCTTGATTCTCAAATGGATATTCCACAGAATACCATATTGGGGCATATGTGTTAGGCCTCAATTGGAAGATTTTCACGCGTCCGCAAATTTTCTCCACTTTCCCCAGAAGAAAATTATGTATAAGCAAATGAATCATATTTATCATCGCCGACTCTCTCACGCACCCAACACTTACGTGCAAACCACGTCCCAATCATCACTCACACCTTGTGGGACCCATGTCATTCTGAAGCACACCTCCCTCATTCGTGCTTCAGACTACCCGCCATTGAATTCAGAAAAAAATTGCCCTAGTCATCTGCAAACTCCTCTCTCCTTTTTCCCTATCTATATCCAGCATCATGAACCACCGTTTCCGATTCCGATCACCTCCTTCGATCTCCCTCCGATTATCTTCCAATTGGCGGAGCTGCTGCTGTATTCTCTGTAAAATCGTCGTCCTCTATCCGATCTGCCACTCGCGATTTTCTAATTCGTAAGGTGAGATTAGTTCACTCGATAGCTCTAGATCTTTCCTTTTTGATTCGTATAAACAATTTTTTTCGTATTTGTATTATGTATATTGTATTTGAGATTTTGTGTTTGGTTTTTTTAGGGTTAATATGGAACCTATGGACATTGTTGGTAAAAATAAGGAGGATGCTTCGCTTCCCAAAGGTTATTTTCTTCCCTTCTCCCTATATTCCATGTTCTATTTTGTTTTTGCATGTTTGCGCCTCGATTAAGCTACTAAATATGCCTACCACTTCCCACCATCCCTGGTATTGCGTAACTGTGTCCACCAAAGCTTGGACAAATGCAAAGAAATCACCTAATATTTTTTTATTATCGCTATAATTTGAACCTGAGACCTCATGGTTTTCCACCGACTTCATTGACCACTAGGCCGCACCCTTGAGTGCAAAGTTTATGTTTCACTTTTGTATACCTAACTTGAAGAAAGGACAATTATTTAGTATTGGAATGGAACGGCTCCGAATGGAGTGGAATGTATATTCAGGACTTGTATAGCTGTGCACAGACTAGTTTGGAATTTGGCATAGTTTGTAATTGAAGAGCTTTTGAGTGGATGAATATGATGTAATCGCGCAAGGGTTGATGATTAAGTGCTTGTTTGGAAGGTATTGGGTTATGCCAATATAGTTGCATGCCTTTGCGACTTTTATGATTCAGGGAGGGGAGGTTTTCTTCTGAAATCTAAGAGATGCATTTAATACAATTTATGGAGCATGCATTGACTTGCAATGACTAAAGTAGTTGACATGTATAGGCCTCTCTGTGAACTACGGTGGCAAGTAAATGCTATAAATTTGGAACAGCACATGCATGTTGATGTCACTGCTTTCCCTCAGATTTGTTTGTACGAAATTTATTGAGTTCCCTTTTGACTAAAAGTTAGAAGTATTCGGTGAGAAGAATTGTATAATAGCTGGAACTTTCTATATTTCCCTTAGGATAATATTAGCACTATTGAGATACTAGAAAACTGGATGATCAGTCCTTCTCCATATGTGGACGAGTGCTGTAGCTGGAATAGAGGGTTTGCCTTGTTTTCCCAAAGTTTGTTGGAGAAAATCTTCTCAGATGAATGGTTGCTAAACATTGGATAAAGTGTCTCCAGTGGTTTGGGTTTCTGTGTCGTAGTTGAAAATAGAGTTGAGAAATTGGGTTGAGCAGTGAACACTTTCTAAAGTATTAGATCAGTTTGATAACTTATTGGTTCTTGTATGTTCCAATTTCTCTAGGTTTTCTTATTATATGATGTGAAAAATTACTGAAGTTCTGTCACATATTCTCTCTCTCTCTCTCGCTTTGTGGTACAGTATGCTAATTGTGTTAGGCTGATGAGATTGATGATCTCAATTGAAAACAATGGTATTATAGGAATTATTGTTGCCTCTGGGACGAAGATGGTAAGATACTGATGGAAGATGCCCAGATTAAGAGGAGATGACATACTTCCATAAACTTCTGAACGAAAAAGGGGATCGGAATATTGTGCTAGGCGAATTGGAGCATTCCGAGAGTCACCGTGACCTCGGGCATTGCAGGCGTATCAAGGTTGAGGAGGTCGTGGGGGCTATGCGTAAGATGAGTAGAGGCAGAACAACCGGACCAGACGAGATCCCAGTGGAATTTTGGAAGTGTGTAGGGAGAGCAGGTTTGGAGTGGTTGACTGGGCTGTTTAATGTTATTTTTAAGGCAAAGGGGATGCCGGATGAGTGGAGGTGGAGTATGGTGGTTCCATTGTATAAGAACAAAGGTGATATCCAGAGTTGTAACAATTATAAGGGTATCAAATTATTGAGTCATACCATGAAAGTATGGGAGAGGGTCGTTGAAGCGAGGATGAGGATGACAGTGTCTATATCAGACAACCAGTTCGGGTTCATGCCGGGTCGTTCAACCACATAAGCTATACATCTTGTTAGGAGGTTGGTGGAGCTGTAAAGGGAGAGAAAGAAGGATCTGCACATGGTGTTTATTGACCTAGAGAAAGTGTGACAAGGTTCCTAGAGAAATTATCTGGAGATGCTTGGAGGCAAAAGGTGTGTCGGTTCCCTATATTATGGCGATTAGGGACATGTATGATGGGGCTAAGACTCGGGTTAGGACGGTAGGAGGCGACTCTGAGCATTTCCCGGTTGAAATAGGGTTACACCAAGGCTCTGCGCTTACACCAAGGCTCTGCGCTCAGTCTGTTCTTATTCGCCCTGGTGATGGATGCGTTAACAAACCATATCCAAGGGGAGGTGCCATGGTGCATGCTATTTGCTGATGACATAGTTCTGATCGATGAGTCACGAACCGGTGTTAACGAGAGACTGGAAGTTTGGAGACAGACTCATGAGTCTAAAGGTTTCAAGCTGAGCAGAACGAAGATAGAATACTTGGAGTGTATTTTCAGCACTGATCCGGGGGAAGTGGGCGTGGATTTGAGGCTTGAATCACAGGTTATCCCAAGTAGAGACAGCTTCAAGTACCTTGGGTCGGTTATCCACGGGGAGGAGAGATTGATGAAGATATCGCACATCGTATTGGGGTAGGATGGATGAAGTGGAGGTTAGCATCTAGAGTTTTGTGTGATAAGAGAGTGCCGACGATACTCAAAGGCAAATTCTATAAAGCGGTAGTTAGACCAACTATGATGTATGGGGCTAAGTGTTGGCCTGTTAAGAACTCACATATCCAAAAGATGAAAGTAGCAGAAATGAGGATGTTGAGGTGGATGTATGGGCACACTAGGATAGACAAGATTAGAAATGATAATATGCGGGAGAAGGTGCACGTGGCTCCCATTGATGACAAGATGCGGGAAGCGCGGTTCAGATGGTTCGAGTATGTAATGAGGAGAAGCCCAGATGCTCCAGTAAGGAGGTGTGAGCGGTTGGTTGTGGAGGGCAAGAGAAGAGGTAGAGGGCGGCCTAAGAAGTATTGGGGAGAAGTGATCAGGCAGGATATGGCGAAGCTTCAGATTTTCGAGGACATGACACTTGATAGGAAGTTGTGGAGGTCGAGTATTATGGTTGTAGGCTAGGAGGTAGTTGAGTCTCGCGTTACTTTGTACTGTTGTGAGCCTAGTCTGGTAAGGTTGTAGTCTAAAATAACTAGGGGCATTGCCATGTCTTAATACTTTCTCTTTTCGGTGCAAAATCTATTTACTAGCCATCATTTCTGCCTTGTATTTTTCTTCTGCAATTTATGTTCCTATTTTTCCTATGATCTCTATGGTGAAACTAATATTCTCTCTTGTTTTTCTTATTATCTTGAGCCGAGGGTCTTTCGGAAACAACCTCTCTACGCCTTCTGGGTAGGGGTAAGGTCTGCGTACATATTACCCTCCCCAGACCCCACTTGTGGGATTTTACTGGTTGTTGTTGTTGTCTGGGTTCGCCTTATACTCTGAAGCTCATTTAGTTTTTGGCAGAAGTTCGTTATTAAGGAGGTCTCAATGTGTTTGGTTGTTGCTTTACTTCTATAATTGATTTGTTGTTTGGCTATCTGATACTGCTGTTATTTCTTTTCAGCAACTATGACAAAAATTATTAAGGAGATGTTGCCCCCAGATGTCCGTGTTGCTCGAGATACTCAGGATCTTTTGATTGAATGTTGTGTAGGTGAGTTGATTTAGTTGCTGGGTTCAGATTTTAAGTTTGGTGATATGTCATTGCTATTGTTAGTGGTGTTTGTGACTTTGCGTATAATAGCAGCTGATTTTCTCTATAAATTTAAGGGAATATGTAACATGACTAGAATTAATATTTCCAGTGTAGGATTATGGATCTAAAGGGAAACTGAGTCTAAAAGCTGTCGAGTCAAATAATGTATGGTGAGTTGTAGTAAGAACTAAGAAGAGTATGGTACAAGTGCATGGTAGTGACTAATGAGCATAAAACATGTTTAAGACATTGTGTAGGTTAATATATTAAAATAAGCTGATAAATTAACACATTTGAAGCTTATTTTAAGAGAATCGTGATAACATGTCTCTACTGCTTGAACAGGATGAGGTCCCTTCTCCTTCCTGTTCGTCCCTTTATAGATAGTTGAATGTTATCTAACAGTCAAAAGAAAAGAAAAACAGATAATTGAGTGTTATCTATTCACATACCACGATTAGATAACAAAATAATTGATTCAATTAGTATATGAAGCATCATTGTACTGGGGTTCTCTTTTTTAATTTGCATTAATTTTTGGTACTCTCTGATCTCTGCAGAGTTCATTAATCTTATCTCATCAGAATCAAATGAAGTTTGTAATAGAGAAGAGAGACGAACAATTGCACCAGAACATGTACTCAAGGCTTTGGAGGTACTAGACTTGATCTTGCAGTTCATCTTTTATGTTCATCTTCTTTATGTTGATTTTGTTTTGCAATTTTCTGCAGCATATCACTTTGAAACTGTGCTATATATGAGTTTACTTTGAGGAGATATAAGCCATTTGAAACTTGGTTTAACTTTGAGGTGATAGTAGAGTGGGAAGGACACCAATTGTAAATTTTGTTCTCCCCCTTCAAGTTTTCGTCTGAGGTTATATTGGGCCAGATATATGATCTGATGCAAATGGCCTTTCATAACTGATCCACATTTATGGTGAAATCTTTTATTTTATTTTATATAGGTCTCAAGGAACAAATATTCACCACCTTATCCAAAAAGGATTAAACAATTCATTATGAAGATCAACTGAACCAGTTTTATGTTGTTCAGTATTCTTACAGTTACTTTTGTGACCAAACAAGAGTGTTTGATCAATTTGTATCTTTATAGGTTACCTCTTAATCATAAGCATATGAAAGCCTTTATGGCATCTTTACAATGAGAGTGATAATTAATGACCTGATTTGCTAATCATAACATGCTGATAATTATTTGCAGTTGACATACGCATTCACAACTTATATTAATTAATGATTTCTCAGGTTCTTGGCTTTGGGGAATATATTGAAGAAGTTTATGCTGCATATGAACAACACAGGCTAGAGACCATGGTAACTGCTCATTTCTATATCTTCGTGCATTAGTTTGACCTGTTATGTAGGATGCTTCAATGACTTCCTGTTGAATAGCTAGATTTACCTATGGACAAAAAAAAGAAGCTAGATTTATCCATCTATTGAGCCACTGCCTCTTTTCATTTTCGTGGAACTGTCATCTTAGCCCCCCCCCCAAAAAAAAAAAAAAAAAAAACA